AGAGGGTGAGGACCAGGGGTGGGGAGCAGGGGAGTGAGGAGCAGAGGGTGAGGAGCAGGGGGTGGGCACCTCCTCCTGCTTTCCTCTCCCTCCCCCTCCGTGTTGTCCCCTAACTCCAACGTCTCCGTTGGCAGCGTGAGGAACCCGGAGGCTGCGGGAGTGACCTCGGGCAGCAGGCTGGTCCTCGGGAGAGGAACGCCCACCCGGGGCTGGGTGCCAAACATTCCTGTCCCACCTCCAGCCCCGGCCAACTCGCTCCTTGCCCGCAGGAGGGAGGCCATGGCCGCCGTCTTCCTGCCGGGCAACCTCCAGGATGAAGCCACTTGCTCCGTCTGCTTGGAGTTCTTCAAAGACCCCGTGTCCATCGCCTGCGGGCACAACTTCTGCCGGGCGTGCATCGCCAAGAGCTGGAAGGACCTGGAGATGGATTTCCCCTGCCCGCAGTGCCGGGAGGTCTTCCAAGAGAAGAACCTCAGACCCAACCGGCAGCTGGCGAACATGTCGGAGATCATCAGCCAGTTCACCCTGCGTGGGGCCAAGGGGGCGGAGGAGGACGGGCTCTGCCTGAAGCACAGGGAAGCCCTGAAGCTCTACTGCAAGGACGACAGGAGAACCATCTGCGTGGTGTGCGACAGGTCCCGCGAGCACCGGCCCCACGCCGTGGTGCCCGTCGACGAGGCGTCCGAGGAGTACAAGGTACAGGGAGGGGTGATTTGGGGGTTTTTTGGGGGGGGATCTCCCAGTTTCTTCTGCTCCCCGGTTGGGTCTTGGTGCTCAATGCAGTCCCTGTGGTCTCACTCGGTTCTCCCACCCTCCACCACCCTGCAAAGAGCTGGTTGCCCCTTTCTAGATCTTCCAAAACCTAGAAAACCCGTTTCCTCTCCAAATAGGCAAAACCACCTCGTGCATCGAGATAAATTCTTCAGCTGGGGGAACGTGGGATTAAATATGAGGCAACCAGGAGGCTGGGAGGTGAAGTGTCCCCCCCAAAAAACCCCCATGAAAGCTCCACCAGAAGCCCTGGGCTTGAGCCACCAACCTGCAGGCGTCTCCCTCGTGGGCAGGGGAACAGCTGAGGGAGCAAACGCCACCCACGACTATTTTCAGTCTGGGCAAACCTCCAAAGAGGGATGGAAGTCGATGAAATCCAGGCTGAGTTTGGCTGGAGCCAAGTAGTTGGGGGTGGCCACCGGTGATAACGGAGCCGAATTTCCCCCGGCTCCTTTCCTTGGCTGGAGCTCCTCGGGGGGCTGGGAACGGGGGTGGCCAGGAGAACATGGGGAGATCCCAGCTGGTGTGTTCTCCTCGGGGTCCTGCTCGCCCACGCCTGGCTGCCAAGGGCACACGGTGGGAGGGTGGAACAATGCAGCAGAGGGAGTGGGGTCATTGGGTTGTTT